ACCACAGGAATTAAACTGCCTCTATTAATCAGCATCTATTGCTAAGGAACACTCTGGGTAGTAATGCAGATGGGGTGCTCTTGTCAATAACAAAAACAAAGATCCCCCGTATAGCCTTAACAGACTGTTGGGGCAAGTGCTGTTAACGAGTACCTATGAAGGCCAGCACGGCACACGAGGGGGTGGGTGGCCAGCACCACGCCTGGCCGCCGTTATCTCAGCAGTGGCTATGTTTACGCACCGCAGCAGGTCCTCATTAGGTGCTGCGTCGACCCAGGGAAATTGTCAGTAGCATAACGCAAACCCAGTGGCATTTGCTGAACAAGCCCCTGGCTCTGGCTGATGAGACCCACAATGTCAAAGCCACAGCGGGGTCCGCTTACTTGGCTTGGAGAGCCCAGTAAAAGCTGGTGGGCTAAAGCGTGCAGCCCGTTCTCCTATAACGCGCGTTTTCATCACGCGAATTGGATGTAGCGCGACGAATGTATCGGGCAACACATCGCTCACAACGCGGATGCGAATTGGATATAACGCGATCGAGCTGAACGGAACTCCGTCGCGCGAGCAAGCAACAAGTGGTCGTACGGCTGCCTCGGTGCAGCGTCACACGAGGTGGGATGCTGCTGGATACTTCCAGATGCCACCCACGCGCCTGAGTCTTTGCTCAGCCTGCGTTACGCATCTCACGTGTTTTCGCGGACTGTTCTATACCCCTATATTATATATGATTTATTATAACGCGATGTTTCCATCAAGCGTTCTTCCGGAACGCAGTTACTGTGTTATAGGAGAACAGATTTCCACAAGACGGAAGGTCTTTTTAAATCCTTTATATTAAGTTCGCGTGCTTGCTTGCTTGCTTAGGACCGTGCAAATCTTTCGGTCGTTTTTTAACCCACTTCCCGTGATCCAATCGAGCTGACATTTTCCACACAGACTCGTTGTGCCAGACAATTATTGTTCGTGAAAAAAAATTCCCAAAATGTTACACTTTTTAGGCAAAAAAATTTTATTTTACATATATTCAAATAGAACTAATTCATGGCTTTGGCTGAACGTCAGAGTGTAAGAGCCAAGAGCGTAACCCCTCCACAGGCTGTGGCGGAGTAGCGCAGTTGGTAGCGCCCTCGCTTCCCATGCCAAAGGTCGCGGGATCGATCCCCGCGTCCTCCACAGGCGAATATATTTTTAAATCCTTTATATTAAGTTCGCTGCCACGCATATAAAGGATTTATAGTGAAAAACTTTGTTTTTACGGGTTATACTTATTATGATTTTTCATTCCTTCACGTGCCCTTCCCAACATCCGAGTGTAATCACACTTCGCGCCATATGTAGATTCTGTTGGTGCAGTCACCGCAAAAGCAGCACAACATCCTTATCAACTTCCACCGGTCCAACTCCCGCAGTTATTGACAGTGTCTGAGGCTTATCCCTCGAGGATCATTGGCATTGCAACAAAGTTTCATATACAGTACGTGACTTGGTTATTAAGCTGCTGAAACGACTGTATGTGTATGAACTTTTAGAAGCATCTGTGTGTGTGCGTGTTTTGTGTGACTGTAAACGTGGCATGCAGTTCAAAGCAGAAAAGCAAGAAGACTAAGTGCTAAGTTTTAAGTTTAATGCCCTCTCGTGCGTTTGTAATTCTAGGCTATGATGTCCATGCACGGCCCAGTGTGTTTTTTTTTATTTCTTGTCAACCCACTGCTGAATGGTGAGGGCATTCCCACTCATTGCGGGGCTGTGAGTGATATATTGGCCATACTTCACCACACTGGTAGGTTTGGGTTGATGATAAGCGGGAGAGGGGGGGGGGGGCAAAACGAACATGGATTGTGCTCCACTGCCCTCTGCTGCCCACAACGCCTACTGCATCTGTCGTTTGCACACACAATGGTGGTCACTCATCCAAGCACGATCCAGGCTCAACAAATCCCGCTGAGCTTCTGAGAACCGATGAGATCGGGTGCAGTGTGGGTGCTTCGGTCGCGGTGGTGAGATGTTAACTACCTCGCCTGGTATACAGGAGCCCGTGGGTTCAATCCCGACCCTAACGCCTGCTGTATATTTTGAGTTTTGCGTGTCTCTCTCACATCATCATGTCAGTGGCTAGGAGATGTTAACTACCTCGCCTGGTATACAGGAAGTCGTGGGTTCGATCCTGACGCCTGCTGTATATTTGCAGTTGGCATGTATCTCTCTCATCATCATGACAGTGGCTAATAGATGTTAACTACCTTGCCTGGTATACAGGAGATCGTAGGTTCGATCCTGACGCCTGCTGTATATTTAGAGTTTGCATGTCTCTCTCTCTATCTCACTGTGGTCGCGTGGATTTTTCTCCGGATCCTCTGGGTTTTCCCTCAAAATTGAGAAACTTGCTTTCAGACTACTTGGCTACTATACATTTCCACACGATAAGCCACTTCGTTGAGCTATCAATTGTGGCCAAGTCGCGTCTGGCAAAATAAAAAAAAATTGTTTAGTTTCAGTTTAATATGGGGCCAGCAGTGATGGTGCTATTCAGAGAACCTTCACACACACATTGCCCAAGGCAGCAGCCACAACAGCTATTCCCATGCTCATATTATTTCTTAATAAACACCATAAGGCATTGCGAAAAACAAACGAGAGCACTGACAACCTCAGCAACAGAGGTCAAAATGCTGCCCAATGAGAACATTAATAAAAACGTGTGTTGTATACTGTAAGGCAACTGTTATATGGAATTGTTGAAATCGCATCTAAAAAAATAAGACATACGTTACGAAAGAACAGGCATCTGCTTTGGTCCCTCCACTCACCCAACATCCCATGCCCCCCGCCTTCATACGAAGACTAATACTGCACAGTACACCGTTGCATATCTGGGGGCCAATGCGCAGCCTAGGGTGTCACTCAATATGCATATGGGAAAATGAAGTTTCAGTCTTCCTTCAATCCCATCCTCCTCTCAACGTTGTTACTTTTTAGCGTAAAAGTCAAACTGCCGAGAATGTCATTGAAATCTGACAACTTTTTACAAGTGGATCTGAATCATCGCCTTCGTCACGGAGTCGTGGGTGTATAACAAAAAACGCTGGCCATCCCACCCTTCACCGAGTGGCTCATGCCTGAGCACGAGCTGTTATGAGTCTTCGGACGCTTTCAGATCGGGTCCTGAATAGCGTTACACCTCCACCACACCGCTGAAGTGTTCCTGGGGTCAAGGGCGAGCAACCCTTGAACTCTGCTCTCAAATGCTATACGAAACTGAGTCTCTGAGCTGCAGTGACCCAATGATGATGCCGATTATATGTAATAATAATGTCTGATAGGGCTATTGTTCACAATTGCACCCAATTGTTTTTTTTTACTGGAATGCATTTATCAACGCCGTTGAGCAACTCGTGAAAATGTCGAGGGATTGTCTTTCACCTGTCAGCGCTTCAGTTTATAACGGGCAAATATATTAATAAAAACCATGGAAGGGGGGGGGGGAGGTATGACCATGGAAATACAACAAATAAGAAATTGAGTTATACCCTCGTCGCGTCGGCAGATATGTGAAAAAGGTGGGACATGTAATCATCGATGTAAAATTATAGTTGCCACCGTGGCACGAACGCCCGACTCTCTGGGGTGTGGTCATTCAGACCGTTGTGTGTAGGGACGGTTTATTGGTCAGGGCGGATATGTGACACGTCGGATATTCAACCGTTGCTCTGTTTAGAACGACACAGAACGGCACGCTGTCATCAACGTGTCTGTATGTCTTGGCCGACGGTTTGGTAAAGTCTTACAGGCCTGAGCCAAAAGTTTCGCAATGCAATAGGCATTGCAACACTGTTTTCGTGTGTAGCGGTACTGTATGCTCCGTTTCCTGCCTATCCTTGCACCCATTCATTGCTGGTAAAGCAGCTCTGTTGATTTAAATAAAACAGTGTTATTGACCTTCGTTACACACCTACAAATGTGTTAACCTGATAATGTTCACGTGTGTTCCTCATCGGGAATTTTCTCATCATGATCATCATCATCATCGTCGTGATCAAACTCATCCACCGTGTCCTATCCACTGCGGGACGAAGCCCTTATACATGTCGTTGTCATCCCTCGCGGTCCCGCGATGCCACAATCCATCTAATCCCCATCACTCCATCCCACAAATATACAAACATGTGAGATCACAGAGCCGTTTCCCTATCTATCGCCATACGAAATCACCTGCGGATACATACATATGCACGTATTCACCTATTTTAATTAGCGCAGAGGCAGTAGTGGTACTTATTGGTACAATGCCACTTTGCTCGTGTTCAATGGCTGTAAAATTTATACGGTGGCGCCGCGCAAGTGGTTAAATCCCTCAATTGATTTTCAAGTAGGCCGGGATATTTAGCCCATAGGCTTCGGTGTGTGGCTGGAGAATCCGCTTCAACCTCTGCAATCTGCATCAGTGGTTACGAGGGTCGCCCTGGGTCCCCGATTCCCCGAGGATGTCCTCATTGACGGAGCTGTCCTGGGAAATCTGTTCGCCTTCCCCCGGGGGAACATCGAACGCGCCGTTTTTTCCCGTCAATCGAGATAATAACAATACAAAGCGTTAACATTTAGTGATCTATACTTTTGGTTTTGTGAGATATTCCTCTTTCCGTGACACGTCCCCGTTTTTTTTTTTTTTGGGTATCTCAAGAGGTTGGCCAGAGATGGTTCAGCAGTAGAGACACCAACTCGCAATCATAAACACAAGGTTACGAGTTCAAATCCCGGTAGGGGGCTTCGCGCAACCCTATTACCTTCCTGGTTCGATAACAATGAGTACAACTTTGTGGTTGTCCTATGAATAGACACGTGGAAATCCCACCACGGGCTGAGAGGCTGTAAACAAGAGATGAGCATCGCCTGAACGCACATTTGGGGCAGGCAATCACTTTGATGATAGTGTTTAGGAGGGCTGGCTGGGTTGGGCTGGTGTGGCTAGGCTGGGCTGGGCTAAGCTGGGCTGGCTGCCTTACCTGGATAGGGGCACGAGTCGGGTCCAGGGTCGTCGAGGCTTGGCTGAGGGGGTCCCGCCGACGGCTGCAGCTCTTGGAGCTGAAGCCCTCCGTGCTCTGGCCCCGAGAGCGCTTCTTTCCCGCGAGGCTGCCCCAATTCCGATGCTGTCGTATCCTCCTCGTGAAGCATGCCGCCTGCTGATCAGCTCCGCCGGTCCAAACAATTGTGACTGCGCCGTTGTTTCCGCAACAAAATAAAAAATAATATACACACACACAGAGGAGATCCTTTCAATGTCACTGCGTATTTGCCCCGCGCTGCCGATAGACTTCTCGAGTATTGTAATAACGTCTCGCTATAGGCAGCAGGGAGACGGGGAATTGCACAAGCCGGCTGAATGGGTGGCCGTTCAGCGCAGTCCCTCGTCCTGCAGTGGAATTAAAGAGCAGGCTGCTCCAATAACAAGTGGAATAATCAAATAAATGCAGCCTCTAAGCTGTCAACCGTGCTGCGAGCGGAAACAGCTGCTTCGTCCAAGGAGTCGCGGGTTTTGTTCATAGTGTGCAGTGGTGGGGAGAGGGGTGAGAGGGCGGGCGGGAGGGAGCCAGGCAAGGGGATGGGAGTACGCGTGGGGAGGGGAGGAGTGAGAAACTGGCTGTAAGTGTGGATAGCACAGCAGCTACGAGCCACAACAATAAAAACCAGGCGTCTTTACTCAGGACTGTGGTCGCATTACATTCTCCAGTCCTAGACCAAGCTGTGCTCGGCGACAATTATAATGAGGCCGATTTAAAACAACAAACAAAGGGCCATCAAAAAGTTACTACTACTCGTAATAATAATAATTCCGTATTCGAACATAGAAAAAGGTGATTTAGTAATGCATTGGTGTCAAAGAGTGAAATTCGAGTTTTGAGATTGTAAATTATATTCAATTATTGTGTGTTGCAATACGTTGCATAGCCGTCATCCAGGACAGAATTTGTGCTCGTTGCGAGCGTCATTCTTGACGGATCATCACAAATCCACCCTCTTCTCAAGCAGCAACGCATCCCGCTTCTTAAGCACAGTGAAGCATTTCCCCGCGTTTAATGCGGTGTGTGTTTTAGATTTGTCCAGTAACCTTTTCGTGCCTGTTGCAGCTTACATTTTTTTTATAAGAGACAATCACATATTCCGCCTGTGCCTTTAGTCTCTCGCGAATCAGATACGCGATGTCGTATCGTACAGTTGTATACAATTGCACACGCGAAATGGAACTATGTTTTGTTTTATTAATATAACTTTTGAATAAATACATGTCGGTGAAAAATGAGTGCCACTAACGAGGTTTAACTTCACGTGTAAATTAAATCTAGTAGATAATTTCGAAGCTATGAATGGGGCCGTTGAGATGAGACAGTGAGTAAAGTAAGTTACGAGCGGGTTTGAGAGGCCATGCAAGCGTGAAGACAATGTATGCACAACTAGAATAATTAGATTTTTTTTATATAATGAAGGGAGTGGGAGGCAATAGCAGAAAAGAGTAAATCTCTCTGTCTGCTTAACCGATTCGCCCACTGGCCAAATTAAACTATTAATTCCGTTGGTCAAAGCCTCCCTGAGCAAGATTAATGAACTTTCACATTTTTACTAAATATAAAACCTCCCAATCCCCACCATCGTACACAATCTTGAAACCATCATCACCGTCGTCATGCTCATAATCGTTTTTTGCGAGCGCGTGTTGTTCATTCACACTTGTAACAATACTGTAGCAAGGCATCACTACAAAAGGGTTTTACAAATACAGGTTTTTTTTATTTAACACAATTTTTAATGAGCAAAATTTTCATCGCAATTGTGTCCCGGCTGCATTCGCTTGCGGTGTCCTGTCACGATGAGAAAAATCGTGGAATCCGATCTCTCCTCGAGCAGTGCAATCCTCTGTGATAGAGAGCGATGCACAGAAGTAAAAATTACTGGTAGGAACCTCCTGGTTACACCAGCCCACAGGGGATTATTGTGTCCGTCGTGCAGGGAGGGGCTGGGTGGGGAGGGAGGGGAGGGTGGGGAGGGGCTGGGTCGGGAGGGGAGGGTGGGGAGGGGCTGGGTGGGGAGGGTGGGGAGGGTGGGGCTGGGTGGAGGGTGGGGCTGGGTGGAGGGTGGGAGGGGTGGGGCTGGGTGGGGAGCGGCTGGTCACCCCCTGATGCCCTTATAAAACTCAACGTTTAACCTACTCACGCCGGCTTGTGCCCGCCCTCACAGTCGGGCATATTTTCGGAATACACCACGCCGCCGTTGACCCTGGCCATTGACCGAGCAACCCAACGTTCCTACCAGCTCCCTCCGCAGGAATGTGTTACAGAGCTACCTCTCAGAACCCTTCAAGCGACCATGGCAGGGGGCAGCACTCCTTAGACCATGGCAGAGGGCAGCACTTCCTGGACCACGCAGAATATGAGAGTAATGTTCGTCGCGTGACAAACTGATATTGAAATTATTGGATCTGGAGTTTAGCCAAAAATTAAGTGTCCATCCATACTTAACGTGGTGGGTTTATTTGCACAATCATCGATCACCGGACTGAGACCACCAACTCGCTACACTTGAAACCCAGTTTAATTGCACTGACAATACCAGCTTAGGGCACTGAATTGAGCCACCTGTAAAAAATTCAACATTTTGCTAAATTTTGACTTGCCATATCATATCGCACCTCCGATTAGCGCGGCCGGCTACGTACGTTGCGAAAGAAGTTCCACATACATGCATACAATTCGTTGATACCTATCATGATCATCAACATGAACATTTTCATCATCAGCTGTGACCTAACCGGTGCTGGATGAAGACCTCCACGAGCAGCCAACCCTTCCTTTTCACGCTCCTGTGATGCCACAATCCATTTCACTTGCTACGCCTGAGCAGATTTCATGACCACATCCTCTGAGGTCCATTGACTACTTAGACTGCTTCCGCCACCAATGTCTCCTGTGTGCAATCATCTATTATGAAGAAGTGTACGAAGTGTATGATTTCTTGTATAAATGGGTAAACCACAGTTATCCGATCGTCGGGATTGGTGTGATGGGATGAAGTGTGGGTACTCCCATCTGTGTACAAAGTGCATTATTTGTTGTATAAATGGGTAAACTACAGTTCGCCGATCGTCGGGATGGATGTGATGGGATGAAGTGTGGGTACTCCCATCTGTTCCAATGTCTGGCCGGCATGGAAGAGAATGGCAATTACCCTCTAGGGGAGCTCCCTTCGAGCAGCAGTGCCATGAGCAAGTAATTGCTGAACTGCACCTTTACCTTTATATACAAAATAATGTGAATCTAAGCCAACCGTTTCTATGTTATTATACTCAGAACCCGCAATGGTTTATCGTACGCTGCTATCATTCCACAGACAAGTGATGAGAGAGAGAGAGGTGTAGATGGGGTGGAAGATGACATTTAAAAAAAAAAAACGTGTGATATGTGTCAAACCTTTCAACAGCGGGGGGTCATGCTTTTACAGCGACAGCATAAAGCGCGTTTACAACAAATAAGAAAACAAATCACGGTCTACAACTGCGCACGAGTTGACGTGGACAGATGAGTGGGGTGTCTGCTCACCTGAAGTCTGGCGCTGCTCGGCGCTGGGCTCAGAGATGAGATTGTGCGTGCCGAGCGCTCCCGGGCGGGTGTTTAGCAGCCCGCATGGGTGACCTCAAACACACTCTACCTGTTAAAGCTCCCTCCAACCCCCCACCTCCATCACTGCTGATGAACGACGCTCGTTGATTGACTCACTGAGCGTTGCGCCGTTATGAAAAAGGGAAAAAAGGGAACCATCCAAAAGGGGGAAATTGCCGTGCAATTTGAATTCTACGTCAAAATGATTTTCACGATGGACAATTCTCGAGACATTTGGATTTGGTCAAATGCTGTCCAACGCCGTTAAATCTCGCTTGGTAGACAAATTCCATTGCATCTGGATTTTAAGTTTCGTGCTAGCTTTGACTCCAGCAATGCAATAAAGCCATTATCACATACTTTTAGTTTTTTCGGTCAAGTCACGTAGGTAATTTTTTTAAATTAAAGTTAATAAATATAAAATAATAACGATTATTTATTTATTTTATTTTTACCTACGTGACTTTAGCCGAAAAAACTAAGAGTATGAATCCTTGCGGTCACGAAAGCTTCAAATCTAGAATCCATTATCACATGGCATGTAAAATGAATTCCACGCAAAATGTTCAGGCGAGTTTTTGGGTCACGGTTTAAGGTAAGTCGCTACAATTCTAAAATTGGGCCATAATTTGACGATGGGGTGACGCAGTCGTTACCCATTGGTCAGAGAGCTTCGTGATGAACCCAGCAGGCTGAGCACAAATTCCGGCCGCGACTAACACATCGATTGTGAGCGATATCTGAACCGGTCATAGGCTCCTTTCCCCCATCACACGTTCATCAACTTGTGATGACGAGCATGGTGAAGTACGGTGCATTGTTACCCCCTCCCCACCCCCAATGGGGACACATCATTGGGACGTCTCATCCAGAAATGTATTGTTTAGTTGGCTGTGAATTATGATTTTCATTGTAATTTGATGACGAGAAAAAGGCATACGTCAAATGTTGTTACTTGAAAAGTATCGTCAAAATGATTAATGAGTTCAGGCTAAAGTCTACAGCGGGCCATTATATATCTAACACCACACACACACAGATGTCCATTGCATGCACAATAGCTCCCAGCCTCTCAACGCAATATGCGAAAACGGGCAGTTCGAAATAACTGTTGTGATGGGTTTTTTTTTTATTATCCGTCGTTGACTAGATTTTCAGTTGTCCTTCAGTCAACGTAACAGTGGGAATGTTTTTCTTCTTTCGTATGGCATTGTGAAAAGCAACAGTTTTGATTTGTTCTTAATGATCGTCATACATGAATGCAAATGTTCCTCAGCCATTCTAGATTTGAAGCTTTCGTGACTGCAAGGATTCATATTCTTAGGTTTTTTCGGTAAAGTCACGTAGGTAAAAAAATTATAATAAAAGTTAATTAAAAATAAAATAAAAACCACTTGATACGGCTATCGTGCTGTGACGGTTCCACCTGAAGACGGAAGCTTGTGTTGCCTCCGAAACGTCGTGATTTTTATTTTATTTTTTATTTTACTTTTATAATTTTTATTTTTTACCTACGTGACTTTACCGAAAAAACCTAACAATATGTTCCTCAGCCAGTTTACCGGTTGACGCAGTGTGGATTTCAGCGATACCGCCACGATGTGCATGGATGGAGCATTCATCGGTGATGTGCTTGATGGTTTGGACTTCTCCACAGTCGCAGTTGGGCGATTCTTTGATTTTCCATTGGTGGAACGTGCACGCGCATCTGCCTTGGTGTGTTCGAGCGTGAATCAGCGTGGTCCGTAGTGGCCGTGGAAGAGAGAATTCCAGCTACTTTCACCGTCGGATCGTATGTTGATGAGTGGGAATGTTGATGAGTCGGCACTGCGTTCTTGGCTGCAGCTTACTTGATGTGTGCACTCAA